CCGGGGCTGCCTGCTGAGCAGTCCAAGAAGACAGTGGTTTGCTGGCAGCAGATAAGGCATGAATCTCACGTCCCATACCAGCCTTTGTGAAAAACACATTACAAGTGAGTAATAACTTTTACACAAAGTAAGTTTGTGACCAGTTAAAGCCATAGCTACATGTACTGCTTTATAATGAAGAAAAGTGTAACTGGCAATCCATACATAAAATTTTCTGAGATCTGTGTAAGGGCAGAGCATATTTTTTGCTGCCACAAAAAAACCCTGCCACAACTGAAAAGCCTTCATCACTAACTTTCTTACATGGGACAGCAATAATTTGTGCCAGGTAATGGACACACATCTTAGCTCAGATGTGCCAGCTGACATGGCATTGCATGGGACAGTTCACTGCGTGCCAACCTCTTCCTCCCAAAGATGGAGAGGCAGGTGGTTGAAGGTGGCATGTCATCTGTCAGCTCTGTGATATAAGCAATCCCTCTCTCCCTGGTCAGCAAGGGGATATTTATAATATTTACTGCCTTACATGGTTTTCACTGATCTTTCAAGCATCAGTTTTGCAAAGAGTGGGAAAACTTAAATGCACCCCCGCAATTTCCAGAGAATCACAGTAGCCTGCATTTACACTAACTCTGTTGGCCCTCCTTTGAAGATGTGTTTGGAATTCCAGTTTCTGGAGATAGTGGGTTGATACTACCAAAGCTTGTTTCAGAGTAACTCCCTGGTTGGTTTTTTTTGTTTGTTTATTTGTTTTTTAAGATCTCCTACAGAACAACAGGAATTCATAAGGATTACATTCCTAACATTGTCAACAATCAGATTTTTTCCTATCACAATTTTTTTTCTGATAGCCACTGTTTTGCCTAAGATTAGTGACTGCACTGGAGACCTCCAGAGATAAAATATAAGATTAAAAAAATCAAACAGATTCTTCTGTGGTTTGTGCAAAGAGGAGAAATTAGAATGCCCATTAGCACACAAATCTTTCACGAGCTTTATTTTAGCTGATAAAACCCTGAGTCTTTAAGTGAGATCTCAGCAATACACAGCCAGTGTGTAGGCCCTAACAATTCATACTGTCAACATTTTTAAAAAGAAATAAAATTTATATGCTATAAAACCCCATTTATTTTGGCTGAGAATCAGTCCTTGCACAGAGACAGATAGATCAAACTATTTCCTCCGTAAAGGTGTGACTTCCAATGGTCTGATTGTGGATGAGAAATTCAACATTAAGACTCAAAAGTCTTAACTTTTTTCTCAAAAAATATTTATCCTAATGTATGAATATGAATTGCAAACTCAAGACAGACTCACAGAGACTGTGCAGGAATTAAGAATAGTATCATTCCAGAAAGCCTTTGATATATGCCCCCTGCAGTATCATTTACAACAGTTATAAGCTGAATTTGCATTATCATCATGTATTTATGATAAACTATTCTGCAAGGGAACATAACCTTAAATCCCACAGAAATCAATAAAAACTTAACCACTCCGTCAAAACCAATTTGGATGCTTTTCTGAATGCAACTTTAATCATTACTTTATATGTCCCATATTTCTGAGACATTGCTCTAGCATTCTTGATTGTAAGATGGCCTAAGACTTCTAAGTAGGTCCTTCACTTAGAAATTTCCAGTTTATTATAGTAAGAACTCAGCAAAGAAGAAATGCGTAAATATCTCACTTGTCTCCGACTCCTTTGCTCTGTCAATAAGCCTGCATAAAATTCTACGCAGTTCGTAAACAGGGATTTGGAGAAATAATCCAAGGCATATGCGGCAGCCAGATAAGGAAGAAGACGCCATTGCTAGAATAAAAATTAAATAGATTTGATTGCAAATTGACATATATTTTTATAGTTATATGTATGTCCTGATCTTATAATATTGAACCAATCCATTCATTTTTACTTTGTTCAAATTGGAAAACTGCTTTATGGAGAACTTAACGATAACCATCTATAAACATAATTAAGTGTAACTACTCTAGACATAAGTTAGTTACGTTATGCATTCATGCATTCTATGAATTTTATGAATTTGTGATAAACATTCTGTGCAAAAGTTCACTGAAGCTTTGGGGACCAAGGACATTTTTGCCCTGTGTTGATACAATGTCTGCCATGCTGGGGCCATCACGATTCATCTGTTTCTTCTGTACCAACATGACAGAGATTGTAACTGTTTCACTTCCTTGTTCATTGCTGAATGTACCTTAGTGCTGGTTGCAGACTGGGCAAAAAAAACCCAAACAGGGCTGGGAAGCAATAAAAAGAGCATCTTTGCTGCACCATGCAACTTGGAGCCCATGAGGGAAAAAAGAAGCTGCTTGAGGAAGCTTTTGTGATAGAGCAAGTGGGGAATGAGAGGTTCAGCAAGCAGAGCCCACAGAACAAGCCAAAACTGAGAAAAAATGAGAGACCCAAAGAATAGTAGGATGCAGACCCTGGCTTATTCAGAAGAGGTGGAAAGAAGGCAGCTTTTGCCAGTTTGTAGAAACCCATGAAATCTTTCAAAGTTGCAAGACTAAGTGCAAACTTGGAAAAAAGCACCCACTTTGCAAGCACAAACTAGGCAGGTTTGTTTTCAGCACTTCTTCTATATTAACCTTTCTCATTCAGCAGATCTGAGTTTTCTCTATTTCTGAGTCACCCTACACACATGTTCTGCTTTTTCAGAGCAAAAGGTGGTTTTCATCTGCATAATCTGCAGAAAAACATTGGTTGTATTCCTCTCAAAATTAATGCTAGCTTGAGACTTCACCACAATGAATGTCATTGATTTCTATACTTTTAAAGCACAAAGGCTAAAAAGAGAAAATTAGCAGCAAAAGTGACATTTTAAAATAAATACTAGTTTCTACGTCTGCAGTACTTTCACATGTGCATAGAAGACAATCTTTCTCTGAAAAGGTTACTATTTTAGAAGACAAATGTTTTTAGATACTTCAGAGAAACATGAATATTTTGGGGTTTGGTATTCCAAGAACTTATGTCAAAAGCATGATCATGCCAGGAGAAGGTCTTGAGTTGGAACGAACCCCCACAGCTGCATTAGAATGACACTTCAGATGACACAGTCAACGTTAATTTCACTAACTTCAGTGTTGCTATTTTGATCTGCAGTAGCTCTGAATCTGAGTTTCATTATATAAGTGTCTGCAGATGTGAATTCCAAAGTACTTACCTGTGTTTGGTATTCAAGAACAGGTATTTCTTCATCATCAGTTGGTCCAAACTGATGGCGAGCTGCTGAGAAGCGAATGGCTATTGATAAGGCAAGCTTTAAATTGGTTGTGGAAATTGCCGTGATCAGAATTCTGCCAGCAGACAAGGATCCCACAGCTGCCCTAAAACGCTCTTTAACACCCTGAATGAATAAAAGGCACAGACTGAATGATGAGGCTAACATTTCTTTTACATCTCCCATAAAGATGCAACTCTGGTAGCATGATCAGAAGCCCAGAGGATTGGCCAATTTTGGTTCTTGACACATTCAGATAAAGCGCTCAGGCAAGACTCCAAGTAGTTTCTCTAAACTACTTTGGGATGAGCGGGGTAGCGCAAAGAGCAAGAAGTCAGTAAAATCAGTAAGGTGAGTTGAGACATCTCTGAAAGGCAATTAAAAACCAGCATTCTGACTCTCTCATGTGAAATCATCAACACCCTTATATAAGTCCAGGTATCTAGTACTTTCCAACATGAGAGGCCCATGCTCTCTCTCTTAACCTACTTATACCTTTGCATATTTAATGAACTGTATTAATGAAACAAAACCTTCATTCATACCTTGATTGAACTTGAGTACTTCCCTTCAGCTGTGACATCTCCAGCTATATTCAGTATGTTTTCTTTCGGTATCCTGACACTGTGGAACATGGCAAATCTGTTTAAACAAATACACAAGCAATGTAAAATCTACCTTGACATAGTCTGAGGTGTCTACGTTACAGAAAAAAGGTCACAACAAAGAGAGGATTGCACAATGATCTCAGGCATATCAGTGAACTGAAAACAATGTCCATCAAGCCAGGTAGGTAATTTTAGGAGAGTATGCCTGGGAGAACAAAGGCTTTCAGACTCAGGGCAGCAGAGGAAATTCAAGACGGGAAATTATTTGTCATAACTCTTCAGTTTGTTTTTTTTTTTAAAAAAAAGTACATGATGCTTACAAAACCAAACCAAACACCTCATTGACTCCAGGAGATGATTTCAGCGGCTTCGTAAGTAAAGAAGTAAACAACTAATGGAAGGACAAGCAATATATTCTGTTTGAGGGAAGGGACAAGTAAAGTTACTTGTTACAGACCTTAGGCAGAGACAGTTTGACAGACACTTTCACCAACAGCCCAGAAACCTGAACTGAATTCTCAGTCTGCATGAGTTTAGGTAAGTTACTTAGCTTAATATCTCAGCTATCAAAAAGCTTGGGAAGATGAACAACTTCCTTCTTAGAACCAGACTCAGCCGTTCTGACTCTTAGTAATTCCCTGCCACAAACAATTCTGCTGAACCATGTGCTTTACTGAAGTGTTGTTCAGTCCAGTCTGGAGACTGCTTTGGAATAGAGACACTATATATTTTTATGAGTCTAAAATATAGATCTGTGAGTATCATTCATGTTACAAATTCATGTTATACAAATGAGGACATAGCTGAAATAGTGCCCTGAGAAGGAACTGAATGGAGAATTTTCTTTTGTTTAAACTCAAACTAGGATTTCTGTTCCCTGGAATGTGGCATCTTAAAAAGGAAGAGGACGATGACCTTTTCTAAATTGTGGCACCCTAGCAGCAATAAAGGAAGTTGTTAGAATAGGCAGAATGTCCTGAGCATTCATATTACTCAGGAAGAAAGTGTATGAACAGTTTCACCCAAATGGGCAATACAGCTTGGCACAATAGCAGTAATATCAGCTCCACTCACGAATATCGCAGTATCTAACAGCACTTGAAAAGCTGTATTTGTAATCAAAGCAAATTCCTTTTTCCTGCCAATACAGGCTGATCTATTTAATAAGGCTCACGAGAGCCACGTCTTTCACGTTAATAAATTACATAAGGGCTGCATTGCTGCCTGTGCTTTAAAATTACGAGTTGTTTCCAAGGAAACATATCTGCATACTGAATTTATTCAGCCTTAGAGATACACAGTATTTTCAGACTTAGCCACAGAGAAAAGCATGCTATCCTAACCCAGAACCAGCTGCTTACTGGCCTTAATGATGCTAAAAAGTGCTTTATTAAGTGCCAGTTTCAGTGAGACAATGCTACTTTGTAACAGAAGCAAATTCAGAATTTCCAAAAATCTGATTGCCATCTTTGTTAATATTTTTTTCATATCACTGAAAATAAAAAAATCTCATTCAAAAAAGTTCTTCTGGTTACATTCACATTCTCTGCTCCCTATATCCCCAATAAAATCCATCACAACTAAAACTGTATAGTGGCTCCAATATTTTTAAGCAATAGCACGCATGTTAGACAAAACTTGAGCTTTTTAATTATTACCCATTACTTCAATTCCAGGAGAGTGTGTGTCACAAGGTTTAGGTCCCTAGTTTAGCACTCCCTTTTCCTAGTTACTGTACATCCGTAGAACTACAAAAAGGTGCTTCCTTCTCCTCCTCGGAGCTTACAATCCAAGCGTAAGGCAAGAAGCTACAAATGTGTTCAAACAAACGGTGAGGAAGACGCTAACTACTGAAGAATACTTTCTTGATATGATACCTGCCAGTCACAGCACATTGGCAGCTAAGCACCGGCATTTTTTATAAGCCATTAGAGCAAATGAGAATTTTAAGGAGGAATTAGAGTGATGAAAGTAAGGGAGCTTCATGGATGTTTATAAAGGATCCCTCCCAGTTAGGAAAAGATGCATGGAAGAAAGCAATGAAATATTATTTTTAAAAGCTATTGAATGGGTGATAAAAACTGGAATCATAAACCAGACTAAAGGAAGAGTTGACCTATCAGAGAGATGATACAATCTTTGGGGCACAGATTAGGAAGAAATTTCAAAGGGCTCCAGCTCTTGGGCCTTCTCTTTGCAAATACATATTTGGAGCATGTTTAGTCGTGTGTGTGATGAACAGTAAGAGTCGCGATAGCAATGACAATGAACAAGATGGCAAATCGTCCTTTGGTGTTTTACGCTGTAGTGATTAGTTCAGTTCATTCAGCAAAGCTGTGCAGTTGTAGAAAATTATTTCTATTGATATGTGCTTGAAACTCTAGAGTTCTGAAAAAGCAAAATCAAACCTACTAATATATAAATCTATATACTAATAACCTACTTTTAGGAAATTCAAGCCTACTAAAACTGAACATGTGGCAGATGTGTGCCAAACAAAGCAACTCCCAAAATGACCTAAACAGTTTTACCCACTTTCACCTGTTATGATACAATCCCAAATAGTTAAATCTAGAGGAAGTCTTTTCTTGGAAAGAGCAAAAAATCTTGTAGAAAGTTTTATGATAATATGTCTGACATAAATATAATGTAGCTAATTCTCTACCACATAATTATTATTTTAATTAAAACCCACATGTATACCCTTCTTATAATAACCTTTTTCACAGCTAGTGAACCAGAATACTAGATTTCCAATCATTATATAACAATCTATTTTCTTAAAATCAAAATTAGTTCAAATCACAATTTTTGAAAGTTTAGGTTTTTCCCTTTATATTGTCCATTACAGATACATTATTTCCTTCTTTTTCTGTTAGCTGCTATCAAACTAAACACACATAAGATGGCAAAAACTTTAAGAAGCAAAAGAGAGAAAGAGAACTAGCAATTAAAAATCACACAGAAAATTCCCATGCGTAAAGAAATAAGATAGATTTCCTATATGCACCAGTGTTGAAAATAAAAGCAGAACCTTACAGGACCTGGGAGTTAGGCAACCTTGTGAGATCATTGCCAACTGCTGTTATGCTCCTTCTCCAAGAACTTTGCTATTTGAAATTGTTAAACATACTGGCCAATTTGAACTTGATAGCAGAAAATATTAAAAATAAAGAGTAAGATCTAATGAAGTCAGTGATCACATTTCTAATGGTTATTAGCCTAGAAAGCATAGTGAATAGACATGGATCACATCTGTCAACACATTCAGGGGAAAACAATTGAAGAAATATCTTACAATAATGGAACTATATACAGAGTCATGGGGATATCATGTACCAGCAGGTTTGGAAAATGGCTAAATTTCACATGGTGATGACAAGACCATAGGTTTGAAAGCTACCCTACTTAGGGCCTCTTCTGCATAGCAATGAGTGTGACTGAGATTAAGACCTCTCAGCAAGACAGACAGATAGTTGTCATTTTAAATATATATCATAGGGCTCTATAACAATGTGCAATTTTGCATCATGTAGTGCACAAGTAAAAAAACCTGTATCACACAGATTTCTACCTAGATTAGCTGAGCAGAGGGAAGCGCTATTCCAGTAGTGGCATTCTTGTTTGGGTTCTTTGGCCAGTAGTTTAGGGAACATTTCAAGCAAAGTTAATCTTATTGACTTTAAATCATGCAATAGCAATTCATCTGGTGTGCAGTAATGCTGATAAAAAAGGAGCAGCTGGAAAAGCTACGAGCTCCTTTTGCCAGTACTGAATTAATAAGCTGTTACCTATAGTACAAATAGCTCAAACATGCTTTGTTGAATTTCAGACTCACTAAAATGTCTTTCCTGCCAGCTTTTGTTATTGACTACGTTAGAGACGGTGCAGTGACAGTTCCTTCAATCCTTCCAGCCAGAAACAGCAAGCAGGTGAATGGTATTGGAAGGCTGTGAGTCAAGTGATCTCATGGCTGTTTATGGAATACAGTAAACCTTGGGAGGAATAACACTTCAGAGGTTTGGTGAAAAACTTGCAGAAGGAAAGAAAACAGCCACATATTCCAGACTGAAACTCACAGAAAGGTTAGAGTTGAGAAGAGTTACAGAGAAGCTGGGGAAAACTGCAAGGCAATATTTTAGCTCTACTTCCTACAATCAAGGCTCTAATCTAAGAATGCAGCTGTGTAACAGTAACGCTCAATAGCAATGATAAAACAACATAGCATTTTATAGGCCTCCTAATCCTCTTTTAATGGACTTCATGGACACACAAAGACCCACTCACCCTAAAGTTCTTATAGTCTAAGTGCCAGTGTTGTAAGGAGTTCTGGATGTGCAGACTCCTGCAACTGTTGAGACCTGACAGAGCTCTGCTAAGGAAGAAAAAAGCTTGTTTGAAGTTCACTGCAGATGCGAAGCTCTATTTCTGTGGGTGATAAAACAAATGCGTGACCAGATCTGAATCTACGTTTCCCCATTAGCACCATGAAGTGCCTGTCAGTGTGATCTGGCTATGGCTACACGGTTTTGAGGTACATGTGAGTGACAAAAATGAGGGTATAAGGCAGCACTCTTCAGCAATGTGACTACGTCTTAGCAATGTGCACAGCGCTATATGTACCCATATAGTGTCTAACCTTGACTGTAGAAACTAAGTGGAGAGGGCAAAACCAGGAAATATCAATGATTCCACTGCAAAGATCACTGTTTTGACTTAAATTATTATTTGACTTAAATATACAAGATGTGTCCTGTGAAATATTTGGTTTAACTGTGAAAGTGGTACTGCTCACAAGGATCGAAGTATTGATGGCACTGTATTCAGAGAATGCAAGTACAGGTACAGGCATCTTTAACATTTATTTTTACTTTATAGCTGTTTCATTACTATTGCAATTGTTTGTGACTCTGGTCAGAGGCTGCAAGACAATAAAAATGTTGAACAAGCATAAGCTTGTTTATTTGAGAAGCAGGACTGATTTCTACACTTGGTTGCTTATTCACATCCCCTATACTATCCCTTTCCTCGTAC